CTTTTTCCTCCCTGCTCTGTGAATGTTTACATGTTATGTTCAATTAAACCATGGCAACATGTAATGTTTGTGCATTATTATTTTCAGCAGACTGTGTTTTTCTATTGTTGTGACTTAGATGACGTTCAGAGCACATTTTATGACCAATTCATGCAAAACTCTGTGTTATCCCAAGGGGTTCACATACTTTTTCTTGCAATTGTATATGTGACTTAAAGCTTTGTTTAGATCAGACAGAGAGAGAGAGAGAAAGTTGCACTAACTTTAAAAAAAAAAACCACCATCGGATTTCCTCTAAATGTCATAGTTGCAAATGATATACTTTTCTATTGCTTTAATAATAAGGAAGCTCTCTGTTCTCAGACAAATAATTTTGAAAGACTTCAAATGAAAGAAAAGATGCTTAGGAGAAATGATCAACAATGAAATCAAAGCAATAGCACTTAGACTTATATACTGCTTCACAGTGCTTTACTGCCCTCTCTAAGCAGTTTAGTGTCAGCATATGGTCCCCAACAATCTGAGTCCTTATTTTACCAATCTTGGAATGATGGAAGGCTGAGTCAAACTTGAGCCAGTCAGGATCGAACTCCTGGCAGTGAGTTAGCCTGCGATACTGTATTCTAACCACTGTGCCACCACAGATTGTTAGTTGTAACCTTCTTATAGCTCTTTTTCCTGTAACATGGAGCTCATTTGTGATCTTAAACTCCCAGAGAAAAAGTGGATATCAGTCTGATATAATTAATACATTAATTAATAAAACTCACTTGCACCCAGATTGTGCTTCTGTACAGTTTTACAGACGGAGGCCAATTGGCAAACAGGTTGAACTGAAATAAAATGACCTTCTTAAGCCTGCTCAATATCACAAAGACAACAAAAAATGTCAGGTAAAGCAGGGTAAAAACCAGAGGCAACATTAGCCAGTGAATTACTCAGATAAATTCCTTGTAAGAGCATATTGTTAAAGGTCATCTTGTGCCTTGTAGCACATTGAATGACATTGGTCATTGAATGCTGTGAGATACGATTACATCTGAACATGCAAAATCTTTGATGAACTTGATTCACAAATTGCCACCATCTTTAATAATAATAATAATAATAATAATAATAATAATAATAATAATAATAATAATAATAATAATAATAATAATAGAGTTGGAAAGGACCTTGGAGATCTTCTAGTCCAACCCTCTACTCAGGCAGGAAACCTATACCATTTCAGACAAATGGCTGTCCAGTCTCTTCTTAAAAACTTCCAGTGTTGGAGCATTAAGAACTTCTGGAGGCAGGTTGTTCCACTGATTAATTGTTCTGACTGTCAGGAAATTTCTCCTTAGTTCTAGGTTGCTTCTCTCTTTGATTAGTTTCCATCTGTTGTTTCTTGTCCTGCCTTCAGGTGCTTTGGAGAATAGCTTGACTCCCTCTTCTTTGTGGCAACCCCTGAGATATTGGAAGACTGCTATCATGTCACCCCTAATCCTTCTGTTCATTAAACTAGACATACCTTATTCCAGCAATCGTTCTTTATATGTTTTAGCCTCCATTCCCCTAATCATCTTTGTTCCTCTTCTCTGTAATATTTCTAGAGTCTCAACATCTTTTTTACACCGTGGTGACCAAAACTGGATGCAGTATTCCACGTGTGGCCTTATCAAGGCATTATAAAGTGGTATTAACACTTTGCATGACCTTGATTCTATCCCTCTGTTAATGCAGCCTAGTAGTGTGTTGGCTTTTTTGACAGCTGCAGCACACTGCTGGCTTATATTTAAGTGATTGTCCACTAGGACTCCAAGATCCCTCTCACAGTTACTCTATTGAGCAAGGTAACACCTATACTGTACCTGTGCATTTGGTTTTTCTTGCCTAAATGTAGAACCTTATTTTTTTCACCATTGAATTTCATTTTTTTAGATAGCACCCAATATTCAAGTCTGTCAAGATCCTTCTGTATCTTAAGTCTATCTTAATGTTATTTTTCTTGATATCTTTAGGGTCCACCCGGCTTGCCAGGATTGAAAGGGGATCCAGGTTCGAAAGGTGAAAAGGTACATGGAAATATATCTTTAGTATACAGCTCATGCAATAACTATTCCATAAAAACATAATTATCACTTCACTGGATGCTATTCTTTCAGTTGTATTATTTGACAGCAAATCATATTTTTTTATATCTACTTATAGGGACATCCTGGATTGATTGGATTGATTGGACCTCCCGGAGAACAAGGAGAAAAGGGTGACAGGGGTCTACCTGGTACACAGGGATCTACGGGATCAAAAGGAGATTCAGTTAGTAAAAACTGCACACAGAGAAATTCTTTTCTTTACCTTTTAATTCTATAACTGTTTAGGCTATGTACAAATTAGTAGCTTGTTGCACAGCCTTTAGCATTAGTGAATTGGTTATTTTACAATCATGTCCACTGTCAGATAATTCTGGATTGGCTTCAGGCTTACTTTTGCGTGAATGGAAAAATTCCTCACTATTTCAGAGAGTCTGAGTTCTGCAGAGCAGATTTTCAGAAATTAAAGACAGGGCCAAGGAGAAAAAAGTAATTGGAAAAATTGACTTCTCCGTTCTTCAACAGGAATGCCCAATGAAGAGAGTTTTAGTAATAAAATTTCTGGATCAAGGAACAGACCTGCAAGATCCATCACAGCAGACTCTGCACCAACATAGGCACATTGTGATGGATAGCATCACATTTGCTGTGTTTTTCTTAAATTAACAACCTCCATGTAACTTCTGGTTCTTTTGGGAAATTGAATCTAAAAAAAAAGTTTGTAATCCATTTGAAATAACTTTTTCTGTCTCTAACTCTTCTCAATCTATTTAAAATGTGCCAAAACTAATCTGGGCTATTTGGACCATTTGCAGATCTGTTTAGACATTTATTTATTTATTAAAATTCTATACCACCCATTTCACCTCTGTGATTCTGGGAGGTTTACAACAGCGTAATAAAACCATATAAATACATAAATAGAAGCATAGCTTAAAAACAGAGTTAAAAACAGGTCAAAATATATAAGTAAAAATAAATCAGGTTAAAATTCAAAAGCTAAGAAGTTAACAAGGCAGCCGGAGTGTCCTCAGGCCACCAGCCATCCCCAGGCTGCATCACACTTTTAGAGTCCCATGCTAATAAGCAAAATCAGGTCTTAACACTCTTTCAGAAAACCAGAAGAGTGGGACTCACCTTGCCTCTGGAGTTAAGATGTTCCACAGGGCAGGGAGCAGCAGCTGAGAAGGCCTTCCTCCTAGGTCCCACCAGTCAAAACTCGTTGACCAGCAGGATATTCAATTTTAGATATATCTATCTGGCCAATAGCAGAACATCATGAACTTCCAGCCAATCAGTGCTTCCTGGTTAAGTTTTCAAGGCACAAAATTCATGTCCCACTCCATCCCTAAAAAGCCATAGTTTCCCTTAGAAAATACATTGCAAACACGTCCTACATATATTCTGTTCGTATAAATTATAATAAAATTGCAGAAGCAGTTTGAGTTCCTTCTATATAAGCAAGTGCAAATTGGTAACAAATACTAGCAAATGCATTAAAAAACCCTTAAATCCATCCTGGTCTTCATAGCAGCAAAGTTATTTTGTCTTACAAAATATTAATGCTGGCATACCAGAACTAGAAAATGAAGGTGAACAAGGAGCATACATTTCTTCAAGCAAAAAAGCAATGATGCTATGCTGACTCTAAAGCAGCATACCCTGGCTTGAAATAGCATTTCTCTGTCCTCAGATTTTAAAAAAAAATCATGGGTATATCAAAATTATTACAGTTACAAGGTTCTCAATATAATATCATGTGGTAATGGGGACATATCATGCCCGACTCCCTTAATCTCATCTTCATTTGGAAGTCCACTCTGTGCTTCTCAAAACTGCAAAAAAAAAGAGCTATTTTGTTTTAAAACAAATTCTTACCTATTTTAAAAAAACCTTTCCTTTAGAAACATCTACAAAGAAGGACATCATGGAAATTTTCATTTAAAAACTGAGGAAGACCAATCAATAAAAATCAAACTGTAAAATGGACTAGAGTTTTATTGATCTGAATATCCATATATCCAGTTCATGGCCTTTGATGAGAAACAGTACTATATGTATTAAGCCATAAACAGGATGGTCTGCATCTTTTGATAGAGCAATGGTATATGAACAAAACAAAAAATAGCTGTAGGAACTTGGGGTGTGATTGCAGCCAAAGGAGAGACTGAAAGACAGGAAAAAACTTCAGAGCAGAGGAGATGTTCTCCTAAGAAACTGGCAGAATCAATTGGAGACATTATGTGACACAGGTGTCATTTCAGGCCACTTCACCCGTGTACATTAGTATGTTCTATATTGCTCACATGTAGACTTCTGAGACAGGGTAAGAAAACAGCCATTTCTATAGTGGAGCATCCTTGTAGTAGGACAAGGAGATTATGTGAATCTGGCTTGGGTCTTTCCAATTCTCATAGATACTTTAAAAATGTATTTATGAATGTTCATTTATTTTAATTTATCATAAAATACTATAGAAAAATGGAAAAGTTACAAAAGCAAATAAAGAAAGCACCAACAAAGAGAAAAAGAAAAAATATTTCCCAGATGCAAAATCAATACAGAGATGACTAATCCAGTGTATACAGTGTTTGGAGATGTACTTTCAGTGAAATTAAAACATTAATAATTCCAGAAATCCCAAAGCACTTCAGCTAGTGTTAGCTTCATTCCAGTAAGTGATGCATGGCTGAAAATATTCTGGTAATTGAGAGCCGATTTTAATTTTACTGAAATTTGCTTATGACTATTCATTGCATTCCAGATCTAAATGTAATCTTTTTCTTTATTTTTCCAGTTATTTGTCCTACTCGTTCTAGCAATATAATTCCATTGACTTTCCATTAGTGTTATACACCAATGTGCCCCTTGACACCATAATTAGATTTATGGATTAAAATGAAATCTCTTTCTATACCATCTTTATTATAATTACATAAGAATATTAATTGTTTAATCCATCTATGAATAAGGTCTGTGCACTCGGGCTGGTGGCTTCAGCAGTCTCCTTTCCTTTTAAACTTTACTGAGCAGTAGTAAAATGGAAGTAATCAGAGTAAGATCTCTTCACTTTTCTATATCAACATCAATATAAATCCAGAGCTGAACATCTGTTCCCCAATTTCAGGCAAGTTTTTTTTCCCCTAGTTTTTTTTTTTCTATATCATTCTCAGGGTGCTTTTGAAGTTCATTTCATGGTGTTTTGGTATAAATTATTGTGAGGTGATGAGGTTTAGAATTAGGTGTTCTGTTACACATTTCTCTATTACTTTGATATCTCCCTGACTGCTGCTGCTTGCTCATCTGAAAAAAGCACCCAGGAGGAGTTTCTCCACATTTCTGCATTTAATTGACACATGGAGAGACAAGGGAGACTGCAGACTGCCAGAGATAGAATTTCATTTGTAGGACAGGAGACTTACTCTCCTTCCATACCTTGTATCTAAGGCAGGGGTGGGCAACTATGGTCCTTTTATGATGTGTGGACTTCAACTCCCAGAATTCCTGAACCAGTCATGCTCAGTCCACAAGTCATAAAGGGGCCATAGTTCCCCACCTCTGATCTAAGGTGAGAGTGAGAATATCATACATTATGAGGCTTCCACTAAAATGTCCTTTACTTTTGGATGAAAAAGAGTTAAAAGCATTTACAGGTTGTCCTCAACTTATGACCACAACTGAGCCCAAAATTTCCTTTGCTAAGCAAGGCAGTTGTTAAATGAGTTTTGCCCCATTTCACAACCTTTTTGCCACAGTTGTTAAGTGAATCATGCGGTCATTAAGCGAATCTGGCTTCCCCTATTGACTTTGCTTGTCGGAAGCCCATTGGGAAGATTACAAATGGTGGTCAGACGACCCCAGGACAGTGCAACTGTCATAAATACATGCCAGTTGCCAAGCGCCCAAATTTTGATCACGTGACCCTGGGGATGTCGCAATAGTCATAAGTGTGAACATCGGTTATAAGTCACTTTTTTTCAATGAGTCGTAACTTCAAACAGTCACTAAACAAATGGTTGTAAGTCACTGACTACCTGTGTATGCCTTTCCAATTAAAAGACAATACAATGTTTCCTAACCTTGGCAACTTTAAGGTGGGTGGACTTCAACTCCCAGAAATCCCCAGCCAGCGATGCTGTTTTTAATGTAATAAACTAGCAATGATTTTATAACATACTCTTTTTCTAGGGAATTCCTGGACCAGCTGGCCCACTTGGTCCTCCAGGCCCTCCTGGTTTACCTGTAAGTAACTATACCCAGTTTCCCTTGTTTTAGCTCATTATATAGACACCTTTACAAATACAATTTTGTGTAACTGTGTCTTACTTTTTCTATAGGGTCCTCAAGGCCCCAAAGGTTCTAAAGGTTCAACGGTAAGTTTCTCCACACAGATTCTCCCACCTCCCCTTTCGCCTCCCCTCCCGTCGGCCTTGGTGTGGCTCACTATTCTTTTTCAATTTATGAGGTTTATTAAAATTATATCATTCTACCCCATTCTTAGGGTCCTGGTGGCCAGAAAGGTGATGGTGGTTTACCTGGACCTCCTGGGCCTCCTGTAAGTAAGACTCCTTTTGATTTGATAGAAATTGAGTATACTATTATAGATGTTGACTGCAAAGCACAGCCTTTAAATATGAGAAGGAGATTAACATCTGACTTTACCAGTATGTGATTTTCCCCTGATAATCTTCAAGGAAGGCTAAAGCAGGGACTTTTTAAAGAAAGTCAACAATACCATGGATATTTTTAGTTATGTACAATAATATCAGGCCAGATTAAGGCCAGCTGATATCCTATGCACAGCCCAGCAATGGTGCTGTGTTACAGGTTATTAACTATATATTGTACAACAAATACTTCGATGCAACCTCTGCGGGTGCTTTATTGTTAGGACATCTTTTTTTGTTATGTTCAGTTTTTGATGAAACAGCCAAATACCCTTACGCTTATTAACAGTGACATTTTAAACCATAATTAAGATGGATAATATTTATTTCATTGTATTCTCAATGGCTTAACCTACCTTAAGCATTAGAGTGTTTATCATTTTTAATCAATACTCTATAAATATCACTGTATCAGAATAATGTAATGCATTATGTAAGTTTTACAACACTTAAAAAAAAGCCCACTGGTGACTCACAATGGAAGCAAAATTCTCCTACCATAAGACAAAAAAAAATGTGCTATTTGATGACACTTTCAAATCAAACTTTAAAACTTTGGTCAAAGAAAAGATTTGCTTTTGACAACGCAAATTAAAATGAAACATGTCAGACTAGGATAATTACCCCCCCCCAAAAAAAAGACTAAAGTTGAGTGTAGTAGTGAAAGAGTTAAGGGCATGATAGCTATGGGGAAAAAATTGTGGTGCTCTCTTCCCTCGGTGCTCTAAACATGTGCTTATTTTGCTTAATGGTTAATCCATGGCTGAATAATATACAGATCGGTGCCTGTGCTCTGCAGAAATTACACTGGTAGGCAGCCCCTGACCATTTGGGAAATACTAGAACAGTGGTGGCGAACCTATGGCATGGGTGCCAGAGGCGGCACTCGGAGCCCTCTCTGTGGGCACACGTGCTGTTGCCCCAGCCTTGCCTCCCCCCACAACCCTCTCCTCACCAGTGGCCCCCCTGGAGGAGAGTTGCCCCCCCCGAGCGTGACCCACATGGAGCAGCGCAGCCAAGGACATGGCAGCCAGGCAGTGTAGACAAGACTGCCCTCATGCCCCATCGTGCACAGTTGATGCCGCGGGGCGTGGGCAGACGGCATGGCCACCATGGCACTGCTGGGCTGCCTGGGCGATCTGCGGCAGCCCTGGAGGCGATGAGTGGCCCTGCGGGCAGGTGGGATGGGGGCGGGGCAGGGGGTGGAGCAGGGACGGGGCCAGTTTTTGGGCACTCGGTCTCTAAAAGGTTCGCCACCACTGTACTAGAAGAATGCACCAAAAATGTTGAGAGTAGTTAGCTTTCTACCTGCATGAGCAGTTAAGAATGTTTTCTTTCCTCCCAGAACTGAGAAAAGATGCAACTTAATAATTAAACAATAAACCAAGGGATTGACATGGATAATTTTCCTTTATTAGATTTACAAAAGAGGCTTGTTTAAGTTTTATATAAATATGTATAGACTTTTTTATTCTTTCTTTTCTATTTTTCATTTTCCTTTTTTCTTTTGTGCACTTTCTACTCTTTCTATTCCATAATTCTTTTATTTGTATTAATATTTATTATTGCAATTATAATCTTTCAGTAAATTACATTAAAAAAAAGGAAATTTTGCCAGTAAAATTGTAAACAGTCCAGACAGTTCACCAGGAGTCCCAGAATGATTCAGAGAACGATTCCTGCCTGTTTTGTCCACTCTAAAAACAAAGAATTAGTTTTTGGTTTGGTGGAACCAATAAAGATAGCTGTGTTTTCTTGGCTCATTTGGATTATATACCATAATTAAAAGGTTCATCTCATTTCCATATTTCTTTCTCTTAGCTGGACTAAGCCTTTAATAGCCAGAGAATTTAACTAATTTTTATATCCCCATATTTCCTAGTTGTTAAAAGTTGAACATGGGCCAAAGGTTGGACAAAGTTGGTGCCTTCCTTTTATAACTTGTAGTACTTGTTATAGGAGCAAATCTCAAAAGGGGAAACCTATTTTCTGCTGAAAAGATTGGAGCAAGAGGACTGTCCATGACTGAAATGTTTCTTTCTCTTTTATGTTAATACATAATATTAAGAAAATATGGGAAACTGTTTACCTGGTCACCCCGTATCAGAGTCTAGGCACATGCATGTGAATGACTAAAAGGAGAAAGCAACTGCACACAACATTTTAAATTCATATACTCAGCCTTCTTTATTTTTTTCAAAAATGAAATACATTATTAATTGTGACTCTTCTGCCTTCCTGGTAAACACCTGGTTCTGGTTCTTATAAACTGTATGACATTTCTATTTGAACAAACCAGTTGTGGGATTCAAATATGTGAACAACCGGTTCTCCGTGTGGATGCTGCTTCTGGAAGTCCATTCTGGGCCTGGGCAACAAAAAACTAGCTACCGGTTCTACTGAAGTGGTGCGAACCGGCTGAATCCCACTACTGGAACAAACATTTATTTGTATATTGCTTATCTATTTTATAATAAGTTCATGATGTAATAATTTTGTTTTTCATTAAAGTTTCATTTTCCCTTCTGGGAGAACCTCTAAGCTTTGGTCAAGTATTGTGGTTATTTGTATTATTTGTATATTTGTATTTTTTTAAAAAAATGGAATTAAAAGCTATTGGCTCTGTGTTCCCAGGGACCTCCAGGTGAGGTTATTCAACCGTTGCCAATCCAGGCCTCCAAAAAGTCCAAGAGATCCGTAGATGCCAAGCTATCTATTGCAGAAGATTACACTGATGGAATGGAAGAGATCTTTGGCTCGTTGAGTTCTCTGAAAGAGGATATTGAACACATGAAATACCCAATAGGCACTCAGAACAACCCAGCTCGAACCTGCAAGGATCTGCAGCTCTGTCACCCAGATTTTCCAGATGGTAGGTTAATATTGCCTTATAAAAGCAAAATTTGCCAAAATCTTGATCTGGTAACACCATTCCATTCATTCTAGTTATATTGGTTTGGGTGTACACTACCACTTCTCCAAGGTCCGTATCATATGTCCATTGTCCTATTTTAAGAAGTTAATTTGGAGATAACTTTGGAACTACAGCAAACTGAATGACTTTAATTATGTGCCTTAAGGTTTGATATATGTTGATAAATACATTCAGAGGATCAAAATGTTTGTAGTTACCTGAAACATACACACATTTTTTTTGCTTTAAAAATACAAAATACTGCTTTAGATTTATATAGAAATGCATCAGTAATATTTCTGGCACGTAATAGCAGTAAATGAAGTGTTTCGCTACTTCACAATTTTTCTGCTTTTACATTTTTCCTTATTACACACAAAAATGCTCCACTCATTAAATCATTGTTCCTCTATAAAATAGAATGAAACACCATGCTCTTTGTGCATCACACATATTAATTCTGCATCTGGACTTAAAACTGTAACAGGAACACTTCAGTTAGCCCTACCAAGCTGACTGGACTAAGAACTCCATTCCACAGGAAGGCTAAAACTACTTTTATTGAGATTAGCTATACTTATAACAGAATCTTGCAAGTCCAGTTGTGCTGTGCCTCCACATCCTTCTTACAATTCAGTGAATTAGGGAGGCATCTGTTTGAACTACTTTTGAATATTATCTGGACATTCTGGATTAAAAAAAAAATGTTGCAAACTATTTTGCCTAGGTAACAGATCCTGCATATTTCCCATCAAAGTCATCTTTCTTACTCTCTTCCTCCCTCAATTCTTTTCTAACCAATATAGCAGTTGAATCAAACAGAAGGTTGTTAATTCCTTCTTTCTACAAAGCTGGGAATTATTGCTTATGAGGAGTTTATTTTTTATTAGGATATCAAGCCTTCTGGATGAGTACTGGAGATTGTCTCCCTGCCAAAAGTTCCTTTTGTAGAAGCAATTTTCCACCTCCTGACATTTTTTTTTTGTGTCTATTATGTTTGAGTGTGGTACACCAAGTGTGGTACATCAAATTATATATTTATTGTCCAAGATTCACAAAAGAAGCTCAAAGGAATTGATCTTTGCCTTTTTGATATCTGACGGCTGTCATATCTTCAAATACATGCCAGGAAGTTTTGTCCTCAGGGATGGCAAATCATCTCACTAATTCTTGGAAGAAAAAGAGAGAGAAATGAGAGCTCAGCAAACAAGGTTACTGAGTTTTTAAATCAAGTTCAGACTTCACCAATTGGATTTAGCACCAGTGATAACTATCTCTTCCGCTGGATTTGCTGGACACCAGATTTCATTGGCATGCCAAGAAAAGTGAAGATTAGGCAGTTACAGAATCAGCACATGAAGGAGAGATAATAGGGTACATCCCAGTAACTACTTTGAGTCGAGAATGGGTATGTTGACATCATTTGTGCTGCCCCCTCCCATGACAGAGCTTTATTGGGCCTCAGGAGAGATGATGAGCAATGTTGTTTCCCATAGTCTCCTCCTTATGAGATACCATCAATTGGAGCAACTTTTCACAATCTTGGAATTAGTTATTTCATTGGTACCCCT